GCGCCTGTAGTTCCAGCTACTTGGAAGGCTGAGGCGGAAGGATCGCCGGAGCCCAGCAAGTCGAGGCTGCGGTGGCTGGGAGCGGCCACTGCACTCCAGTCTGGGCGACAGAGTGACACTCCAACTCAAAAAACAAAAACAAAAACAAACAAAAAAAAACCCAACACATATATATGTTTGCAAATCTTTATAATAAAAACTTGGGGAGAGGGAAAGGTATATGAAAATGTAATCAGGTAAGGTGTGGTGGCTCACATCTGTAATCCCAGCACTTTGTGAAGCTGAAGCAGGAGGATTGGGCAACATAGCTACAAAGAAACAAAAAAATTAGCCAGGCGTGGTGGCGCACATCTGCAGTCTCAGCTACTGAGGAGGCTGAGGCAGAAGGATCACCTAAGCTCAGGAGATCAAGGCTGCATGAGCTGTGATTGTGATGCTGCATTCCAGCCTGGTGACAGAGTGAGACTCCAACAAGAAAGACAGAAAGGAAGAAAAGGGAAGAAAAGTTTAACAGTGATTGCCTCTGAGAAGGAAACTAGGTAGCTGGAGTCAAAGGATATACAGTCAAAGGATATACAGTAACGTATATCTCTTGAGATTTCCTGAATTTTGTATCATGTGCCTGTATCTGCTATTCAAATAAATAAGGTCTTCAACATTACAAGTGGCTATCTTTTCAGTACTAGTCGAGTTACAGTTTTTTACTTTCTTCATTTTAGAATCCAAGAGAGACATTTTTTAAAAGTTTAGACTGGTGATGGAGGGTAGGAGGAACAGCTTAATCTCTGTAAGTTCTCTCAAGATTCCCCCCAAACATGCCATATATGACTTTGAACTGAAGACCTGATTTCCAGTGCCTTTTTACCCAGTCATAAAAATAGCAGCACATGTCCATTAAAAGAGGACTGGATTTAAAAAATGCAGTATATATACACGATGGAATATTATGCAAAAGAACAAAATCATGAACTTCACAGCAACCTGGATGGATTTAAAGTCTGTAATACTGAGTGATCTTTCACAGAAACAAAGAACTGAGTATCACATGTTCTCACTCATAAGTGGACCTTGAACAATTATTGTAATACTATAAGAGAATGATTGGCAGTAATGGGAAACTGGTGGGAGGGGGTGGGGAAGTGAGACTGGCAGCAGTGGGAATCTGCCTGGGGAAGGGGGAGCACACCTCATTAACAAGGGTACCTGCATAATGGACATTTGTTTATGTAACCCTGAATTGTACCCCACATCTTTAAAATAAAAATAATTAAAAAGTAAATAAAAAGTAGAAATTAAAAATTATTTTTAAATGGCAGCCCATGGAGGCAGTATAAAATTATAATTAAGAGATTATAATTAAGAGCTTGGGCTCTAGTCCTAATCTTAGTTTCACAACTACTTATCTGACTTTCCTTCCATTCTTTCATCTGGAAAAAATGAAAAACCACAACTCACAATTAAAAAAAAATGTTTAGCACAACTCTCCAATAGAGTGGCAAGAGCACAGGCTTCATATAGCAGGCATGGGTTCTGATTCTAGCTCTGAGAACCATAGATAAGTTATCACACTTCTGTGCTTCAGTCTCCATGTGTACAAAACTAAGCTAATACATTTCCTTCCTAGGGTCACTGTGAGAATTTAAATGTAAAGGCTCCCAATAAAATACTTGACACACAGTAAGCAAGCAATAAATAAGTCCTATCCTAATACAGGTGTGGACTCAGTTTTTGTTTCTCTCATCATAGCAGACTAGCACATCACACAGATCAATAGTCTGCCTTTTAGGCACCAATTTCCAACATTTGGCTTCTCCCATGAACTCGAGATAACAAGGGCATGTAACAACCATAGGCTTCTCTACTCACAATTACTCAATATTTTAAACATTTTAGTGATATATATTATGGGCTGAACACCAATGAAATGTTTCAAGGCTTGCTTGCTTTAGGGCACTCATAGACCAGTGATGATGAAGATACAAAAACATATACCATGACTAGAAGACTTTAGAAAGCATTAACGTGAAGCAGCGCGCAGTGGCTCACACCTGTAATCCTAGCACACTGGAAGGCGGAGGCGAAAGGATTGCCTGAGCCCACGGGTTTGAGGCCAACCTGGGCAACATGGCGAGACCTCACCTATATGATAAATCAAAAAATAAGCCAGGTGTGGTGACGCATGCCTGTAGTTCCAGCTACTTGGAAGGCTGAGGCAGAAGGATTGCCTGAGCCCCACAGTGTCTACTGTGTGCTAGAGAGGAAGAGCAATTCACTAGAATCAAGGAATACCTTGTAGAGGTAGGCCTTGAAGAACTGAAGAGGGGTGGGGAGCATGGGCCTTTTCGAAACAGCTGGGTGTACAAATCTACCAATGCTGAGATTTGGCAAGAGGTGGACCTGGCTCTTTCCACAGGGGTGGCTGCACCAAAACCCTAAGAAACTGAGTGGACCCCAAGCATTAGCCCTCAAGGGCAGTTTGCTCCTCTCCATCACAGGGCATTTGCAATGCCTGGAGACATTTTCGACTGTCATACCTGGGGAGTGGAGGGTGTTACTGTTATTATTGGGTAGAAGCCAGGGATGCTGCTAAACATTCTACAAAGCACAGAACAGATCCCACAGCAAATAATTATCTTGTTGGAAATGTCAACAGTGCTATTGTTGAGGATCCTGCTCTAGGCAGAGAGCCAAATCCAGGCAAGACTCCAAGGAAGGTACTTAGTATGAACTACTCTTAGGCTAGGAAATGATTCAGCATCTCTGGGGTTGGAGAACACAACAGGATTCCAAATGGACCACTTGTAGGGGTTGGTGAGAGGAATCCACGGTGTATTATTTACAGATGGAGAGTTAAGAAATGAAATGGAGGCTTTATCTAACCACCCTTTGTAAAGACACCATAACATTTATGACAGCCCAAAATTATCATATTTTCTTTCTCTTTCTTTCCCCTCTGGAAAGTAAGTTGCCTGTGAGCATGGACTTGGTTTATTCTATTCCTCGCTGCTTCCACAATTTGAAATTGAACAACTCCTGACAAACAGCATTCAACAAATTTAGTAAAGTGAGTGAGCTCCAGCTTTTGACAGTTTCAGTGGTAAGAAAGAGGCAACTATCTCTGAGAAACACCAAGCGCTGGAGCGCTGGGTCTGAAGTTCAAAAGTGCCGCCTCTAGAAGAGAGTAACAAGGAACAAATTGGAGCATACCAATGTAAGGCGGAAGGAGGGGAGGCGATGGGCTGAAAGCAGAAGTGCAATGTTTGGGACCGGAAGCCATGGGAGAGCTACCAACCTTCCCATTTTTCGGAGGGGGTTAAAGAACGCTATGAGGTTGGATACAGCCAGTCCGGCAGGGAACCGTGCGCGGGCGCAACTTCTTTGGCGAGAGGGGCAGTAGGCGGGGTAACGAGCAGTTTGGCCCGTACCACTCCGGCTGCAGGGGGGGGGCCGTGCAAAGAGCGGCAACTGACAGCTGGAAGAGGTTAGAGTCAGAGCGCCCGCGAGGGGAAAGCGGTTTCGAGTCGAACCCCGTAAAGGAGGGGCAAGGAACCCGAAAAGGTTCGCGGTGTTTCAGGTTACATGGGCTGGCATGTACTACTCAGACGCCAGATAGGGGGTCCAGGCCAGGACGTACGCAGGGCCGCGGCCGGGTTTATCTCACCAGAGCCATTGGGTCCAATGATGGCGGTGAACCTCTGAAATGGTCCGATAATCTGTCGACCCTTGTACGATTTAAAGTTCTCGATCTCAATCAGCTTCAGGAAACCCATGACGGCGGCGGCGCCGGCGGCGGTAAGAAAGGCCGCGCCGTACGCGGTGGAACTGAGGTATCCCGCGCGGGAAACGCCGCAGTGCAGGCCGGGCGGATGGCAAATCTCGCGAGAACATGTCCAAGCCAAATGGGATTTTCGGCTTCCGGCACGAGCGGGGCTAGGGGTGGAGACTTTGGGCTTGTTGATCCGTTTACTAGGAGCGCGCTTACGACAGACGTTTGAGCCCCGCCCTCCTTTCGTTTGTTGCATGGCAACAAGAAGCCGCTGCAACAACGGACCAAGTTGTATCGGAGTCGATTCTGAGAGGATTCAGAGCAGCTTTTGGGATCCAGGGAGGCACAGCAGACCTGAGCTCACATTTGCTGATACGAGTCAGAAGCCCCCGAAGGGTTATGCTCCTTAGGGCAAGAGGAAGGTGGGAGCTCTCCTGTGGTTTTACCCTGGCCCGCCTGCAAGGCTAGTACTAGGACAACATCGGGAATTGGAAGGACCCCAGGGTAGTGGAGGGCTGGACGGGAAGGAGGGGCCAATGGGAGGAGTCACTGTTAGATGAGTTTAGACCTTGCTAATGGTGGGGTGGAATTGGAGGCGGAATGGGATGTGAAGAAGGATGGGGTGTGAATAAGGATGAGGGTACTCTTGGGTGTCAGAAGTACAGGATGGGGAAGGCTATGGTCTGAGACACTGCCCTATCCCCTGCCTCCGTCCTGTTCCTCCAAGCAGAATTCAGAAACTGCCGCTGTAATCCAAGAACAGGCTTGTACCCAGATCCAACCTAGGAGCTTCAAAATCGGGATTTATTACTGAGAAAGGTATTTTGTGTGAACCCCTAGGAGTGAGGGTCCTTAAGCCAGCGCTCACCATCTCTATTCTTCCCTTCTCCCCTCTCCATCTAGCTCTCCTTTCATGCCTCTTCCCTATCCTATTCCCACAGGACCACATCATGCTACCACCTTCCCTCTTTTACCCTCTTTCCTTTCCCTCTCTGCTCTTTGTCCTCCACCTCCCCACCTGGTTGTTTTTCTCCTTCCTGTTCACCCCTGTTCTCTGCTCTGTTCCTTCTTTTATCACTCCTCCATCTACTACTATCTACTATTCTATCCCCTTATATATGTTCATTAGTAAAGCATAAAGCCAGGGCCTTAGCAGTCCAAGAAGCTTAAAATGTCTGTTGAATCTTCCCTGTCAGTGACCTTATATTGTGGCAGGTGGAACTGGTTGGCTGGGGTTGGTGCCCTTCTCAGACTTAGACATGGAAAGAATCTGGTGGTTGCCATAGCCATTCCTGTAACTATTTTTTAAATTATGTCTGAAGGCTGGGAATAGTCTTAAAGACTTAGGACAAGTCCAGGAAAGTAAGGAAGCTCGGTTGATGGAATCTAGTAGGGGAGCCATAATGAAGTTCATTTAGGAGAAACTGTCAGAATCAGGCTGAAGGAATAAAATGGCCAAAGGAAAGCAATCTCATATAATTCACAGGGAACTACTGTTCCATTTTAAAAGAAGAGATGGGACCAGTCGCGGTGAGAGGATTGCCTGAGCCCGGGGGTTTGAAACCAACCTGGGCAACTTGGTGAGACCTCGTCTCCACAATAAATCACAAAAACTAGCCAGACGTGGTGACGTGCGTCTGTAGTTCCAGCTACTTGGAAGGCTGAGGCGGAAGGATTGCCCAGCAGGTAGAGCTGCAGTGGCCATGAGTGTGCCACTGCACTCCAGCCTGGGGGATGGAGTGAGACTCCAACTTTAAAAAAAAAAAGGTGAGATGGAACTTGGGGAAAAAGATTAAAGTGGATCCCTATCTCACACTATAGACAAAATTCAATTCCAAGTGAATTAAAAACTTAAATGAGAAAGGCAAAACTTTAGAAATTTTAGAAAATTATTTAGGAGAATATCTTTATGACCGCAGAATCGAAATGGATTTCTTAAAAAATAACTAAGTTAAAAGGAAAAGATGGGTAACTTTGACTACATTCAAATTTACCAAAATTCACCATAAAGAAAGTGAAAAGAGGTAAGTGCACACAGAAGGCTTGAGCCCATGGGTTCGAGACCAGCCTGGGCAACTTGGTGAGACCTTATCTCTACAATAAACCAAAAAATTAGCCAGGCATGGTGGCGTGTGCCTGTAGTTCCAGCTACTGGGAAGGCTGAGGAAGAAGGATCACCTGAGTCCAGCAGTCAAGGCTGCAATGGCCGGAAGCATGCCACTACCCTCCAACCTGGGTGACAGAATGAAATTCCAACTCAAAAAAAAAAAAAAGAAGGCTTATTTTGTTTGTATTTTTGAGTTGGGGTCTCACTCTGTTGGCCAGGCTGGAATGTGGTTGATACGATCATGGCTAACTGCAGCCTCACACTGCTAGACTTAAATGATCTTCCCACCTCAGCCTCCTGAGTAGCAGGGACTACAGACATGCACCGCCATGCCTGGCTAATTTTTTTAATTTTTTGTACAGATGAGGTCTCACTATGTTGTCTAGGCTGGTCTCTAACTCCTGGGCTCAAGCAATCCTCCCTTCCTGGCCTCCCAAAGTACTGGGATTAGATGTTTGAGCCACTACACCTGGCATAGAAAGCTCCTAAAATATTGATAATATTCTATTTTCTGAGGTCTGTGGAGGGTTCACAGGTGTTCATTTTGTCATCGTGCTTCATAGCCTACATGTGTGTTAACCATATTCCTTTGTATATCAATTTTTACTTTCTTTTTTCTTTTGAGTTGGAGTCTCTCACTCAGTCGCCCAGACTGGAGTGCAGTGGCCGCTCCCGGCCACTGCAGCCTCGACCTGCTGG